TTTGTAAGCCAAAATGTGAACACACACATAATTTCCACTGCTATGTTTCTGCTTTAAGAGATGATGGGGTGTAACCTACACCAATTTGGCATTTACAGATATGGAAAGTGAGTAAAGAATACAAGTGGAGGGGCAGGGGAAGTATACAAGGAAAAGCATCTTACAGCAAAATGTAGGGGAGGATGCTAGCTTGGTTTATTTTAATTGTTATATCACCCAGAAAACTCCCATTGCCAAATTCAAACCTGGTATAAGTGAATACAAGTCACATTAACTTCAGTGAAAGTTGTTCATCTTTACTGAAGGGATTAAGTTTAATGTTTATTTAATGTCAAACCCATGCAAATCATATTTATCTACTACTCAGCGTTCATTCATAACTGCCATACCTGTCTTCTGATGAACTTACACCTATCATTTTACTTAACATACCCAAAGAATTTAGGCTCAGATCCACAAAGGGACTTAATCATGCCTGTCACTCCAGGCTTATCCATAGGAGAACAGTTCCAGTTTCAACTGGAGGGACTGAGGGAGCCATGTCAGAATGTCCCATAGCTTAGTCATTAGAGTGCTTTTCTGAGAGGTGGCAGATCCCTGTTTAAATCCTTCCTCTCCCTTTTACAGAGAAACAGGTATTTAACCTGGGTTTTGCACATCCCAGGCGAGTGCTATAACCAACGGGCACCATCACTGCCACCACCTCATTTTCCTTGTGTGGGGTTGGATTTTGGATGGGACCTAGCAGGCGGCCTCTGAATACACCTACCACCTAGAACTCCTCACATGAGTAAAGCGGACAAAGGCCTATTTTCTCCTGGTTTATGAACTGCTCCGGGGCTTAGGCTGGAAACGGGAGTTCAAATATTTTGGGGAGGCCGCAATGCACCTGTTCAAAGGCAAAAACAGGCACTTGTGGAGTTTTTACCCAGGAAACGTAGGTAACCAGTGAGTTTAGGTGCCTATAGGGTTTTGTGGATTGCAATGAAGCCAAAACTGGGACTTATGCACCTAAATTTGAGACTGTCGGGGTGAAGATGTGTAAGTACCTTTGTGGATTTGGGCCTTAGTTTTTAGGCAAAATATTGGAGAACAAAGTGCATCTGTGTCTACCACACAATATTGATAAAATAGAACACCACTACCCCCAAACAATTTAGAGCTTGATTTTCTCTCATTAAGCAGTGAGATATGAGGAAATTACTCAGCTTGTCTAACCACAATAGTGGAACGCCCATAGGGACATCACTCTACAAAGAATAATACTTTTCTACTTGCACCTGGAATGTTGAATTTATTTCTCTCGTGTACCACATTAACCGGAAAATATTGATAGAATATCTGGAACTCTGAAAACAGTGTAAAACACTCACAGATGGACTGCATTATGAGGAAGGATTAGAAGAACTAAATATGAAAATTGACAACTGCTTTGGGGACTATGGGGCAATGTACTGATACAAATGTCTGACGTGTAAACACTAACAAGGAAGAGAAATGATTTAGGATAGTGTAATTGTTAATAAGACAGTCTATGAAGAGCAAATTTAGATAAACGAAAAGTTAATAACAGGAAAAATTTCCTAACCAGGAGGTGAATAGGCTGGAAATGATGGGGTGTTAAGAAGTCCTGTTTAGGATATTATAAATAGACTCTATAAACCATAAATGGACAATAGTGAACAATCTCACATAACTGTGGAGATGAGCAATAGCATAGTTATGAAGCTAGTTTCCCATTTAAGGTTTTTATCTTTTTTTTTTCTTTTACAAACTCCCATACTGTCCCAAAAGAAACGGCATCTTCACATGCCATATCTTATTCCAAAGTATAATTTCTCTGTGAAGTCTGGAAAAATTCAGCAAAGACATGTTAAAGCTCTGATGACTCAAATCTCCCCTGCTCATTTTTTTGAAACCTCTCCAAATGGCTTTTTGGTTCACTATATCTTGGAAACACCAGTCTCTGCAAACTTCAGACTTCTGTCAGCAAAGTGACACAATGTATCACTACCCATTCACCCCTTATGTGATGTTTTTAGATGTAAGATCATAGCATCATAGAACACTAGAACAGGAAGGGTCCTTGAGAAGTCATCAAGTTAGTCCCCTGCCCTCACGGCAGGATAAAGCACCTCTAGATAATCCCTGATAGATATCTGTCTAACCTGCTTTTAAATATATTCAGTGTTGGAGATTTCACAGCCTCCCTAGGAAATTTATTCTATGGTTTAACCACCCTGACAGGAAGATTTTCCTAATATCCAACCTAAACCTCCTTTTGCATCTTGTCCTATCATTAGTGATCAAGAAGAACAAGTGTTCTCTGTCCTCCTTGTAATACCCTCTTAGGTATTTAAATTTTTTTATTATGTCCCCTCGCAACCTTCTCTTTTTTAAAATAAACAAACCCAATTATTTCAGTCTTCCTTCATACGTCATGTTTTCTAGATCTTTAATAATTTCAGTTGATCATCTCTGGACCTTCTCCAATTTCTCCACATTTTTATTTAAATGTGGTGCCCAGAACTGGACACAATACTCCAAATGAGGCCTAATCAGAGCAGAATAGAGCAGAAGAATTACTTCTCATGTCCTGCTCACAACACTCCTGTTAATGCATCCCAGAATCATGTCTGGGTTTTTTTGCAAATGTCACGCTGTTGCCTCATATTTAACTTGTGGTCTGCTCTGACCTCTAAATCCCTTTCTGCAGTACTCCCTTCTAGCTAGTCACTTCCCATTCTGCATGTGTGAAACTGATTGTTCCTTCCGAAGTGGAGTACTTTGAATTTGTCCTTATTAAACTTAATCCTATTTACCTCATACCTTTTCTCCAGTTTGTCCGGATCATTTTGAATAACTCTGTCCTCCAAAGCATTTGTAACCTCTCCCAGATTGGTATCATCTGCAAACTTAAGTGTACTCTCTATGCCAATATCTAAATCTTTTATGAAATATTGAATAGAACCGGTCCCCAAACTTACCCCTCCGGAATGCCACTTGTTATGTCCTTCCAGCGTGACTGTGAACTTTTAATAACTACTCTCTGAGAATGGTTATCCAGTCAGTTATGCTACCACCTTTATAGTAGCCCCATCTAGATTTTATTTTCCTAGTTTATTGGTAAGAAGTTAATGCGAGACCATATCAAAACTTTACTAAAGTCTAGGTATACCACATCCACCACTTCTCCCTTATCTACAAGATTTGTTATCCTGTCCAAGAAAGCTATCAGATTGGTTTGACATAATTTGTTCTTTACAAATCCATGCTGGCTGTTTTGTATCATCCTATTATCTTCTAGATGTTTGCAAATAAATTCTGTAACTATTTGCTCCATTATCCTTTCCTGGCACTGTAGTTAAGCTGACTGGTCTGTAGTTTCCTGGGTTATTCTTATTTCCCTTTTTATAGATGGGTACTGTATTTGCCTTTTTCCAATCTTCTGGAATCTCTCCCGACTACCGTGACTTTCCAAAAGTATCTAATGGCTCAGATACCTCCTCTATCAACTCTTTGACTATTCTAGGATGCATTTCCTCAGGCCCTGGTGACTTGCAGACATCTAACTTCTCTAAGTAATTTTTAACTTGTTGTTTTCCTTTTTTAACTTCTAAACCTACCCCATTTCGCCACCATCAGTCTTTTTGGTGAAAACCAAAACAAAGAATCTGTTAAACACCTCTGCCATTTCCGTGTTTTCTATTACTGCTTTTCCCTCTTCACTGAGCAATGGGCCTATCCAGCCTTTGGTCTTCCTCACACGTCTAAGATATTTGTAGAATGTTTTCTTGTTATCCTTTAGGTCTCTGATTAGATTGAGCTCGCTTGGTACCTTCACCTTTCTAATCTTGCCCCTACACATTTGTGGTTTTTGCTTATATTCAGCCTTTGTAATTTGACCTAGTATCTACTTTTTATATGACTCCTTTTTTATTTTTAGATCATGTTAGTTCTCCTGGTTGAGCCAATGTGGTCTCTTGCCATATAGTACTTTCTATCTTTCCTATGCAGTGGGAAAGCTTGCCGGGGTATTAAAATAAACTTCAAGTTTTTGAGAAATATAAAATCATTTTTTTTACAAGAAACAGTACAATTCATTCCTATCTCATTCATCAATATTTGTGGTGATAGTTGGAGTCTTTAACATTGACCACTTAATTGCATTTTCAGTTCTTCATACTTTTTCCCCTCTAATACTGGTAATGGCAAGTTGGGAGGGCAGTGACCTTATGCATTATATGCTTCAAAATTTTGCATATTTCTTCACTGTGCAATATATTCATGTAGCCTTTAGACTCTCTCTACAGGGGTTTTTGACATATGTGGAAAGGTCTTGTATAAAAAGTTCCTTTATTTTTATTCATTATCATATTTTAATGCTACTTATATAGCGTCTTTCCAGCAAAGTATCTCAAAGGGCCTGATCCTCATTTTTACTCAGGCCCCTAACAATGTTAAGGGACCTTAAATTACACTTACTTTAGTGTCATCCGAAGAAGTGGGCCTCGTCCACGAAAGCTCGTGATACTATCTATGTTTTGTTAGTCTTTAAAATGCTACCAGATTATTTTTTTTTTTAAAGTTTGTCCTGTACAGACTAACTCGGCTACCCCTCGAAACTTACTTTAAGACCCATTTACACTGGTGGCATGGTATAAAAGGGCTTTATTGTAGATGAGAATATGGTTTAAGTGTTCTGCAGATGTTAATCAGTTAACCCACATAACACCAGCTTGAGGTCATATGTAGGTAGTTAAATAAATATAACATACCCTTCAAAATTCTTAGATATAAAGCACTTGCAATACTTCTGGCTTCATTTCATCCTGCTTAGAGATAATTAGGTCGGTACAGCCCTGTGGTTATTTCACTGAAGAGCCCATAAAGTGTTCTTTAGATTCATTCAAAGTGCTGTACCCCCTTTCCAAAATACTTGAAGTTTATTTTTCCTGATGTATTTGATTACAACTTTCCAATATTTTGTATTCTTTCAGCTTCCAAACAGTTTGCTGAAGAGGTCTTAAAAGCCCACAATGACTACAGGAAGAAGCATGGAGTTCCCCCACTAAAGATTTGCAAGAAGTTAAACACTGGAGCACAACAGTGAGTTCAGCCCTTCCTTTCTTGTAATGAGACTTTTGTCACATATATGGATTAAGCATTCTATTCTGCTACCTAGCACCAGGCTCTGCCTCTGCTTACCCCAGAAATAAGGTGCTAGGTAGCACTTCACTTGGGCATGAAGTGTCCTTTGTTGAGGTGTTGCCTCCAGTGCCTGATGTGTTCATAAATGATGCTTCGGTATCATAGAATCTTTCGTGGTGGTGGTATTCATATTTGTAGCTTCTAAGGCCATAAAATTCTGATAATCTAGTCTGATTTCCCATATAACACTGGCCATAGAAATCCCCCCCCCCCTCCCCCCGCCAAATAATTCCTGGGGGCGTATCTTTTAGAAAAGCATCCAGTCTTGCTTTAAAAATTGCCAATAATGGAGAATACACCATGGCTCTCCATTGTTCCAATGGTTAATTACACTTGTAAGGTATGCCTTATTTCTAGTCTGAATAAGTCTAGCTTCAGCTTCTAGCCTTAAGATCATGTTACACCTTTCTCTGCTAGATTTAAGAGTTCATTATTAAATACTGGTTCCCCAAAAGGTACTTCTAGACAGCAATCAGGTTACCCCTTAATCTTCTATTACGATAAATAAATTTTGCTCCTTTAGTCTGTCACTATTATAAGGCATGTTTTCTAACCCTTTTATCATTCTTGTGGGCTCTTTTGGAGAGGGTTCATAGTTTATCAACATCCTTTTTAAATTGTGAGCACCAAAATCAAACACAGTATTCAACCAGTGGTTGCATCAGAGTCAAATACAGAAGTAAAATAACCTCTCCACTCTTACTTAAGATTCCTCTGTGTATGCATCCCAGGATCCTATTCTTGTCCTCTGTAAAAGTAACCTCTTCTGGAGATGGAATAGTGGAGAGATGCACAGTTAACTGCAGAGCTTTGACTAATATAATTTTTGTGAGACTATTCATTAATCATCGGAAGGAAGGAAGATGGAAGAAATAATCTTTTAGGAACATAGGAACTACCATACTGCATCAGCACATTACAGGCAGTCCCCGACTTACGCGGATCCGATTTACGTCGGATCCGCACTTACGAACGGGGCTTTCTCGCCCCGACTTCCGGGGCGAGAGAGCCCCGTTCGTAAGCTGCTCCGGTGCCCCTGGTCTGCTGGAGACCGTCTCCAGCAGACCAGGGGCACCGGAGCAGCTTACGAACGGGGCTTTCTCGCCCCGACTTCCGGGGCGAGAGAGCCCCGTTCGTAAGCTGCTCCGGTGCCCCTGGTCTGCTGGAGACCGTCTCCAGCAGACCAGGGGCACCGGAGCAGCTTACGAACGGGGCTTTCTCGCCCCGACTTCCGGGGCGAGAGAGCCCCGTTCGTAAGCTGCTCCGGTGCCCCTGGTCTGCTGGAGACCGTCTCCAGCAGACCAGGGGCACCGGAGCAGCTTACGAACGGGGCTTTCTCGCCCCGACTTCCGGGGCGAGAGAGCCCCGTTCGTAAGCTGCTCCGGTGCCCCTGGTCTGCTGGAGACCGTCTCCAGCAGACCAGGGGCACCGGAGCAGCTTACGAACGGGGCTTTCTCGCCCCGACTTCCGGGGCGAGAGAGCCCCGTTCGTAAGCTGCTCCGGTGCCCCTGGTCTGCTGGAGACCGTCTCCAGCAGACCAGGGGCACCGGAGCAGCTTACGAACGGGGCTTTCTCGCCCCGACTTCCGGGGCGAGAGAGCCCCGTTCGTAAGCTGCTCCGGTGCCCCTGGTCTGCTGGAGACCGTCTCCAGCAGACCAGGGGCACCGGAGCAGCTTACGAACGGGGCTTTCTCGCCCCGACTTCCGGGGCGAGAGAGCCCCGTTCGTAAGCTGCTCCGGTGCCCCTGGTCTGCTGGAGACCGTCTCCAGCAGACCAGGGGCACCGGAGCAGCTTACGAACGGGGCTTTCTCGCCCCGACTTCCGGGGCGAGAGAGCCCCGTTCGTAAGTGCGGATCCGACGTAAATCGGATCCGCGTAAGTCGGGGACTGCCTGTAGTCCTTCAGGGGTCTCTGATAGTAGGTAATGCTAGATGCTACACAGAAAGGTACATAAAAACTGAGAATGGACAATATATGAAATAACCATCCAATGAACTAAATAAATAGAGGCTGGTTTGTGACCTAAAGCATGTGAGTTTATATCCTTTTATCATTCTAATGTAAATGTATAGTAAACAAATTTTGTTATCTTTATCAATAAATCATTTTTGAGTCTTACTAGATTTTGACTACAATAAATCCTGTGGTAATGACCCAGTATAGCCATTCTTATGTTCTTAGGTCAAAGTAGATCAGTGGTTCCCAAACTTGATTGATTCACATACTGTCTTTCTAAAAAGTTGATTTTTGAGGTACCACATATAAAATTGTCCTTGTACATACTTATTTTAGGCATCCATAGGCTTACCCTTACGTATATCCTGATGCTGTAGAAAAATAAATGCATAAAGAAGCCTAAAATATCCTTCGTTAACATCTTAGTTTTTTACACAGCACGACAATAAGTAGCACATTGAATAAGACATTATTTTTATTTGCCTTTTGTAGTCCTCAGATTACAAGAAACAATTAAATATCTCATCCATGATGCATTCATCTGTGTTGGTATGCAGCTGTACTACATTCAGTGGCTAGACTTTTTAAATCATCTCATTTAAATTCAAAGTTCCTACTAATTCTAATCTGGATTGTCACTGAACACAAGCCAAAGGTCACATTGCTTTCCCTTTACAAGATTTAAATCAAGAAAAACACAAAGTATTTTGAGGCGCTCAGAAAAAAGAGGAGTGCCATTAATAAGTGTGTATACGAGGAAACGCTCAGGGAATGGGGCAGTGGTGAAAGTAACTTAAAACTTCTTACAAGTACTGTCGTATTGCAACTCAGGTCCCTGCAAGCTCTTTAAATAGCTTCAGCCACCGCTTGCTGGAGCTGCACACCAGGGCGCACCTGCTTACTTTCACCTCTGGAATGGGGTAGAGAAATGGGGGTAGTGCTTAAAATGGTCTAAAAGAAGGGACGGTGGTTCTATCATAACTTGGAAGCAGCAGCTTTGGTAAAACAGTGCTCACAGTGCACTCCTCTGCAACCCAGCTTGAGTTTAAAATTCCTTTTACTAGGTCTGTGTCTTTTGCATGTTCCTTTTTGCCCACTCCACGTTAAGTGCTGGTGGGAGAGTCTTGGCAGGAAGTTGGGGCCTTTATCTGGGCATCATGCAGGTTCAGCTTCAGGAAGCCTTTTGCTCCTCAGCAACTCTAGCCCCTTCTCTCAAACAGCCCAGGCAAGTGTGCAATGCTGAGCAAACTGTGCAGCAGCTTCCCCTCCTAGAATGAGGCTCAAATTTCAGTGAAAGAGCAGTGGAAAGAGTAGTCTGTCTCTGCTTAGTCTTGTAGCTAGGCTTTCATATACTGGACCTGACCAACTGCTATCCCATCCTGCTGAGAATTCTCCATACATCTTCTGCCTTCCGGCCAGTTTCTGTGAAGCAGCGAGTGCAGAAGAAACTTCTGCTCTGCAATGTGTGTGTGTATGGAGGAGGGGCTTTGATTCTGTGGTTCCATGTGACTGAGCACCATGAACCACCCTTGTGTTGGTGTGTCTTTTCAAATGAGGCGCTCTTGCGGCATGAAAGGGAACCTTTGTGAGTTTGCTACGATAACTTGAGCAGTGCAGACCAGTTAAGAACTAGGCCTTCTGTTCAGTTTGCGTGCAGTGCCTGGCACAATTGGGGTCTCGTCCATAACTGGAGCTTGAAGGCACTGCAGTTGCACAAATGATGATAGTATAGTGGAAAGCCAGACAGCCTGATGTGAGTAAAGCACCCCTCTGGACAGCCACAGAACTCATCACACCACTGAATAAAAACCACTGTGCTGGGCGCAGGGAGCAAGTGTTATCCACCTTTGTGGCTGAAAGTGCCATGTTGCTGCTTGGGCATTTTTTTGGCCTCCACAGCTCAGGCAACAACTATTCCTTCAAAACCTAGCGAGTTTTTTTTAGAGTTTTGGGTGTACCTCTTCCAAGAAGCTCTTATACCACGTTCATACACTGCAATTTGGGAGCCCCTGGGCTAGATGATCTAATGGTCTTTCTGGACATAAACTCTTCAAAATCACTTCTGTCCACACTGAAAACTATTTCCTGCTCATTGTTTTTTGGTTTCTTAAGCAGACTCTAATCCATGACTATTTACCTCTCAGACCATGAATAATTTGCTCCCTTAATAGCTTCTTGCCTGGGACTTGGAAACCCCTTCTTCCCCCCAATACATTCCCATGTAGGAGACTACAAACTACAGGACTTATCACTTGCAGAAACTGCTGCAAGTGTCTCTTCTCCACACACAAGTGGCAGAGACTGCAGCTCCTGGATTCTCCTAGATCTACACAGATCTTGGTAATATGTGGCTTTGTACCTTATTGCCTCCAAGCTAGGCATGATATAATAGACATGGGGAGGCCCTACAGGCAATAAGAAGAGACAAGACCTCTTGACTCTCCTCATGCTGCTAAGATCTGTGTTGATCTCAGAACATCCACTGCTTTAGGCACTTGGAAAATCAGTAACAGGATTGCAAACCCCCAGGTCAGTGTGATTGCTCTCCACATGGACATTAGCTGTCACTGGTGTATGATTCCTTTGCTAGGTATGCAGAAAAACTGGCTAGCACAAGGGTCCTCCAACACAGCCCTGAGTCAGCAAATGGAAAATGTGGAGAAAATCTAGCGTGGGCTTCGTATGATCAGCCAGGTAAGTTTGATTTTTACTCCTATGTCATAGACTAGATTACAAGTAAACAAACCTCCTTAGTCACTTGGAATACAAAGGGCCAGATCTTGTCCTGGGTGAGCGAGTAGCTCAAACCGAGGACTTTGTTAGATATTTCCTTTTGCTTCAGGAATCTTACCAACATGGTTCTCATTCCATGGAATTGGCCTAGAGGTTGTGCAGTGGTAGACACTTCAGTTGCTGTGCTGAAAAGGAGATGCACATGCTACAGCTAGCATGGCCTGCTAAGGGCCTGGATCTGCATGCTCTGGGTGGCAGACCATGCCTCTTTGGTGCTGTGATGCATGGGTTGACTTAGTTTTCTAAAGTGCTAGAGGAGAGAGAGAGAGAGAAAGAGAAATAAGCCTCCTACACTTTCACTGTTCCGGTTTTGCACCAGCACAACAAAGGAGAGTCATTGCCTCAACAATGCCTAGAAGACTAATGGCTTGTCTACACTTGAAACACTGCAGTGGCACAGCTGCAGCAGCACTTCAGTGTAGACACACACTATTATAGCAACAGGGGGGATTCCCCACACCCTGAGAAATGTAGTCAGGCTGATGTAGGTTTTCAGCATAGACCAGTCCTAAGACAATGCTAATTGCTCTTGCATTGTCCTTTCCATATATGGGAACTGATTTATGAATAAATCACTTCTAGTGACCTTTAAATCAACACCTTTCTGGTCCCCCTTGATCCACCAGTGAAAATACTTTCTGACTTGACATAAAAGTCAACTCTCTTTTATCTAGTTTAGACACATGTGAGAAACTGAGCTCTTAGTAAAACCATCTCATGGAGGCAGCATGTGATGAGTGCTCAGTAAGAATCATTTTCACTGCGCTCCTGTTCCTCCCTTTTCTAGTCACTTATTAAGGCTTGTTTTCCCCCTACAGAGACCAGGCAATGCATCAGGTTAGAACACTCTCCCTTCCAGAGAGCATGTGACTAAGAACAAAAGTGAATGTTAGTTTCTTAATGTCATCTTAGACCAGAATTTTCAAAAGAGCCCTGGGAAGGTAGGGACCCAAATCCCATTGTTGTTAGGCCTCTCGCTCCTCTGTGGACCTTTGAAAATCCCATCCCCTAGTGGATATTCATTCACTGTGAAAAATTATTACACACTTCAGCTCACTTCAGAACGATTCGCACGATGTCCTTTGAACTAACATGAAACATGCCTTTGGAGGAGCATAGGTGTGTGGAGATGTTAGCACAGTGCTTGTCCCCTGTTAGCACTAATTTCTCCTTTTTGTTAGCACTAATGTTCCACAAACATGTTTTAAAAGCTTTATATGATGACTTTGTTTGACAATATGGCAAGGGGGGGGAAAAAAAAGGCTGTCTGCATTAGGCTTTCATGGAGCAGCTTTTTCTTGTACGTGCTATGTTTCCACAACTGTTTTGTCTAATCTGCTCTGGGAGATTTTTATATGGCTATATCTATTTTTTTTTATTTACATCATTGCATATCCTGATGAAAAGTTTGAGCCACATCCTCTCCTTGTTCTCCAAACTGATAAAACTTTATTCTATAAATCTTTTGAGGCAACTACACTTTCTATAGAGCAAATACTTTTTAAGTGCTTGTGAGTGAAAGCTAGTTGTGTGCTGAAAATTGTTCTCAGATGTTGGCTTAGGTTAGGCCCCTGTGGAGTTGGTTCTCTTACCATTTTTTTCCTTGTCCAGTTCCATGTAGATAATTAATTTGTGTCAGGCTGGAAACTGCTTGTATTGTGGATTCTATTCAAGTAGTTAACAAAGGGGAGTCAGTGTCTTCCAATTTCCTTTCCAGATGAAGGAAACATCAGTAAGCCTCCAACTTGGCATATAGTCTCTCTAAAAAGAACTGTTGCATTGCTGGATTTTTAGTGTTCGACAAAAAGCTGGCATAATTGGGTTTCATGTATCAGAAAAAAAAAGGGGGGGGCTGAAAATGTAATGCCTCATCATCAGTTCTTTGGAATTTCTTTACATTTCATTATAAGATTTCCAGAGTAAAGCAGTCTGTGGCTGATGTCTGAAATGTATTCAGCCCTGTATTCAAACAAATATGAGTCAGTCATTTCCTCCTTTTGATCTTGAGGAGGTTGCATTGCACTCTTTCTGTGCTCTGATGAGTGATGTCATAATTGCCAGTTACCTGCTGTAGTTTCCCTTCCTTGGGCTGCTCAGGTACATCACACACTCGGTTGGGTACCTGATATCAGTGTGCCAGATGTTTCATAAGCTTGAAGGCAGGTGGTAAAGCAGGGGTCAGCAACCTTTCTGAAATGGGATCTTGAGGAGGTTGCATTGCACTCTTTCTGTGCTCTGATGAGTGATGTCATAATTGCCAGTTACCTGCTGTAGTTTCCCTTCCTTGGGCTGCTCAGGTACATCACACACTCGGTTGGGTACCTGATATCAGTGTGCCAGATGTTTCATAAGCTTGAAGGCAGGTGGTAAAGCAGGGGTCAGCAACCTTTCTGAAATGG